TGGATAGAGAACTCTGAGTGATTCCACACACACACCCCAGTAGTTTGGCAAAGGTGTCTGATGCCCAATTGTTTAGTAGTAGCAATGGCAAAATGGCATGATTTCCCATCTAAATTAGGCTGAAGCAATGTCGAATGCTAACCAGGGATGGATCTACACACAGGGGGGAAAACGTTATAAATACGTAACTAATAAATTAAATTGTTATAACAAAAAGAAAAAGATCTCTGTGGGAAATCGTGTAGAAAAGTTTTGTGCTCTACAGCGCCATCTGGTGTTGCATGTTTGTAATGCTTTTTAGATGCTGTTCTGTGTTGTTGTTTTTTCTAATGTAGCTGAATCCCAGGAGTCGCTTTTTCAGTGCAAGACCATGAGCGTAGCTCAGCCCCAGGAACTGGGCTCCAAAGGTGCTCAGAGCTGCCCTGTTCTTTAATTCTAACTGTATGTCTTTGGCCAGGGCCGGATTTAGGTTTGATGAGGTCCTAAGCTACTGAAGGTAATGGGGCCCTTTATATGTCCAGCTGTCCTTTGTCAACAACAAATTGACAATTTTTTGTGTTGAATATATGCTATAAGGTAATTTATGGACTTAATAGGTATCTAGAGTCATTTGCACATGCAGAATGTAGGCACCCTATATATAGAAATGAGCAAACCAGTGATATTTTAAGGAGCAGGCTAGCAGGCAGGACCCATGACTTACATCATAGGAGCCTACACAACACAAAACACTGTTGATGTATGTAGGTTTTATTTTATTTGTTTTTTTATCTTATATTTTGGAAATGTACATCCAGGTGTTTTTTTCCTTTAAATTTTTAGGGCCCCCAAGAGAGTGGGGCCCTAAACTATAGCTTGTTTAAAGGTAAAGGGACCTCTGACCATTAGGTCCAGTTGTGACCGACTCTGGGGTTGCGGCGCTCATCTCGCTTTATTGGCCGAGGGAGCCGGTGTACAGCTTCCGGGTCATGTGGCCAGCATGACTAAGCCGCTTCTGGCGAACCAGAGCAGTGCACGGAAACGCCGTTACCTTCCTGCCAGAGCGGTACCTATTTATCTACTTGCACTTTGATGTGCTTTTGAACAGCTAGGTTGTCAGGAGCTAGCTTGTTTAGCTTCTACATAAATCCGGCATAGCACTGTCTTTGGCACTTGGCTCCGGATGGCTTCTGGTAATAAACTAGAATAAAAATATTACTGGCTCCTGGTAATAAACAAAGTAGACTCATGCAGTGGGAAACAGTGCAACCAGAACTTCTCCCATCCATTCCTTGCCAAGTCCTGCTGTTGCCCCATCTCTCTCCCTCCACAAGTATTGCACAGCAGGCAAAAGAGGGAGGCGAAAGGTGACAAGACCAGCGACAAAACAGTTTGCAAATGCATCTGGGGAATTGAAAAGGTGTAGGCACACTCCCTCGGTCCTGACCCGGCAGCCCTATGATTCAATACATTCAATACAGCACACTGCCTGCGTGCCACTAATATAGAAGAGCTTCCACATATTTCCTCCACCTTCAAATGGTTCTTTTTCTCTTTTTTTTCAAAAAAATTTATTGGCTTTCACAATATTATAAGCAAACAAACAAACACGTAAGACAGACAAACATAAATCATAGCCTTATTGAAATTGCACTTATTAACTTTGTTAAATGACTTCCTCACTTCCCCTTGGTTGAATTTCACTGCATGTCCTTTTAACGGTTTTCCAAATCACAGTTCTTATAAATTTAACTTAAACATTCACATCCTTAAATCTTCACATTACGAAATTAAACATATTAATTCATCACTTAACATAAATAAAATCCTAAGCCAATTAAGTATCTGCAAGCTGTTTTCAGTTATTTTAACTTAACTTAACAAATTAGAGAACTGGGCCAAAACAAACAAGATGAACTTTAACAGGGAGAAATGTAAAGTATTGCACTTGGGGGGGGGAAATGAGATGCACAAATACAAGATGGGTGACACCTGGCTTGAGAGCAGTACATGTGAAAAGGATCTAGGAGTCTTGGTTGACCACAAACTTGACATGAGCCAACAGTGTGACGCGGCAGCTAAAAAAGCCAATGCAATTCTGGGCTGCATCAATAGGAGTATAGCATCTAGATCAAGGGAAGTAATAGTGCCACTGTATTCTGCTCTGGTCAGACCTCACCTGGAGTACTGTGTCCAGTTCTGGGCACCACAGTTCAAGAGGGACACTGACAAACTGGAACGTGTCCAGAGGAGGGCAACCAAAATGGTCAAAGGCCTGGAAACGATGCCTTATGAGGAACGGCTAAGGGAGCTGGGCATGTTTAGCCTGGAGAAGAGGAGGTTAAGGGGTGATATGATAGCCATGTTCAAATATATAAAAGGATGTCATATAGAGGAGGGAGAAAGGTTGTTTTCTGCTGCTCCAGAGAAGCGGACACGGAGCAATGGATCCAAACTACAAGAAAGAAGATTCCACCTAAACATTAGGAAGAACTTCCTGACAGTAAGAGCTGTTCGACAGTGGAATTTGCTGCCAAGGAGTGTGGTGGAGTCTCCTTCTTTGGAGGTCTTTAAGCAGAGGCTTGACAACCATATGTCAGGAGTGCTCTGATGGTGTTTCCTGCTTGGCAGGGGGTTGGACTCGATGGCCCTTGTGGTCTATTCCAACTCTATGATTCTATGATTCTATTCTATGATCACTTAACATAAATAAAATCCTAAGTCAATTAAGTATCTGCAAGCTGTTTTCAGTTATTTTAACTTAACAAATGGTTGTTTCTTTAAGCCCATGTACAAGAAAACCAGCAGCCACAGAGCTGAGTACAGGACAAATCTGAACTTTCTTGAGTTGCATTTACATGCTGCCCAAAAAGACAAGTGGTGGGCAGAACGTTTGCTGAAAATTAAATAAATGAAGCAAATGCCCCAAAGCAGCCTTTTTTCGGAGGGGGGGATCTGATGCCAAATTTTAACCACATAAAACAGGCAACACTCACATAGTGCAGTGCCAAGTGCAGCTCTTCTCAGATTTTGCAAGCCGTGCCAATCTTTATTACATGTTCTCTGCATCTGCAGGCTTCTTTATGTTGTGTATGGCGGTCTACGCACTCCTCTGAGCCTCTTTCTGCTGGTTGTTTGGCCTTAGCAATATCCAAAGTACTGCAATGAACTGACAAGGTAAGACACAGTACAAAACTTCCCTGCAGTTGAAAAAAATCTGATTTTTATTTTATTTTTTTTTGCACCAGGCTCCCACTGGCTGTGTGTAAATCCAAACAGCGTGATATTTTCAGGATTAAGTCAAAGTATTTTGACGTGCTGTCTTTGTGTATGTAATTACTCTTTCTAAATTCTCTCTTGCATGAAGGTAGTCGTGGTTCAGATTGATTAACCTTGACTGTGGACTGTGAAGGCAGCTCCTTCCCTTCCCCTGTCAGCTGGGCCGTCTTTGCCTTGAAGTTTCAGATATCCAAACCATTCGTGGGCTTTTGCTTCTTCTCCCATCTCTGCTGCTAAGAGTGGATGGAGAAACTCAGCGAGCACTTAAGCAGCCAGCGGTGCAGTCAATAATCACTTGGCATGAAAGCAGCAGCTGAGCAAGGATTGGGGAGTGCGGGGAGCTACCAACCCCACAAAGGGTTAACAGGCACTTGTGAAAACGAGCCACTATAATCAAATACCAAATTGAGGCCTAATGGAAAATAGAGAGCAGCATTATACCAAATTAGACCTTAGTTAGTTAGGAGCCAAAGACAGGAGTGCCTGGCGTGCTCTGGTCCATGGGGTCACGAAGAGTCGGACACGACTAAATGATTAAACAAAGTTAGGAGACAACTGCTAGGGACCAAGATCCCTTCGGACTTCCCAATAAAATATTTGAAGCCCCAACTTCAGTTGATGGGCATTGCCATTCAAATGATGTGCCTTGTAATGTTGAAGAAGAGGAGTTTGGATTTGATAACCCACTTTATCACTACCCTAAGGAGTCTCAAAGTGGCTAACAAACTCCTTTCCCTTCCTCCCCCACAACAAACACTCTGTGAGGTGAGTGGGGCTGAGAGACTTCAGAGAAGTGTGACTAGCCCAAGGTCACCCAGCAGCTGCATGTGGAGGAGCGGAGACGCGAACCCGGTTCACCAGATTACGAGACTACCGCTCTTAACCACTACACCACACTGGCTCTGTGATAGATTATGTAGGGGAGGGCTTACCTGCCCACCCCTCTTGTCATAGCATGGGGGGACCATAGGGGAAGTTGCCCCAGGCACAAAATGGTTAGGGGCGCAAAATACAGCTAGGCTGGGAGTGACTGGGAGTGGCTGCCAAGACCATATAACAGCGGTCCTGAAAGACCTACATTGGCTCCCAGTACGTTTCAGAACACAATTCAAAGTGTTGGTGCTGACCTTTAAGACCTAAACGGCCTCGGCCCAGTAGACCTGAAGGAGCATCTCCACCCCTATCGTTCAGCCCGGACACTGACGTCCAGCTCCGAGACCCTTCTAGTGGTCCCTCCTTACGAGAAGTGAGGTTACAGGGAACCAGGCAGAGGGCTTTCTCAGTAGTGGCGTCCGCCCTGTGGAACGCCCTCCCATCAGTTGTCAAGGAAATAAACAACTATCTGACTTTTAGAAGACATCTGAAGGCAGCCCTGTTTAGGGATTTTTAAAATGTTTGGTGTTTTATTGTGTTTTTGGTGTTCTGCTAGGACCCACCCAGATGAGCGGGGTATGAATAATAAATTATTATTATTATTATTATTATTATTATTATTATTATTATTATTATTATTTCAAAAAGGGAGTCTCTCCCATTCTTACCTGGAAATGCTAAGGACAGAGCCTCAGGCCTTCTGTGGAGAAGTTGGATCCCCTTCCCTTATCACTTTCCCCTAAAGGGTGATGCTGGAATAACACCATTAGCTGCATGCTTTCAAAACAGCAACAGGTGTAGCATAGAATTGTGGAGCTGTTGGAAGGGGCTCCGAGGGTCAACAACCCCCTACAATGCCTGCCCACAGCCATCCCTGGGTGGGCTTGAACCACCAACCTTCTGGTTAACAGCCAGATGCACTGACCAGTTGCGCCACCGGGGCAGTCAAAGGATTAGGCAGCAGTGGGGTGTTTAGTTTATTTCTCCAAAGGGGAAAGCACCTAGACGCCCAGGCATTTTGTACAATCTCAAAGGCGCTTTGTTATACAATGTATTGCTTCATACTCGTGTTCTTTCTTTCTATTTAAGGGCATGGCCCAAGATGGGAACAGTGATGCTAAATGGGCACAGTTCATGGAGAGGAGGGGTGGGGCGACAACACTAAGACCAGAGTCACCTGCAAGAGATGCCACCCATCCCATCTCACAGACAGACAGACAGACACACACACACACACAGCTGAAAGGTTAAGACTGAGAAGGGAGAGATTTGAGGATTAAAACGCAAGAGTCTTGGAAGAGCTCTTGAGTCTTCTGACAGTGCCTGTTTGACCAGACCAACACGGGGCTGGTTGTTACTGGATTGCGCAACTTTGCTGTTGCTTGCCAACTGCTGCCATGAGACAGATTGCTCTACCTACCGTGTGATTTACAGCCACAGCTGTCATGTTCAGCCTATGCTTCTGACTTTGAGTTGGTGCAAGGCATTATTTCAGGAGGGGAAAACGACCTTTGGAAAACTTATGAGAGCAGTAAACTTGCTCAGCTATGGGGACAACAGCTCTTTTATTTTTATTTTTTAAATACTTTTTAAGTTTATACATTTTGCTAATTTGACAATCATTTTGACATTTCAAAACTAGACTTCCTTCCCCCTTTTTCTGCGGCTCCTTAAATTTATTTTTCATATCTTCTGCATATCCAAATTAACTTCATTTGCACATTTATTCATCTTCCTTAAGTATATACGCTTATGAAACTGCAGGTATTACAATAATCCTGCCAGTGTTCTTATCTGTCAAGGAAATAAACAACTATCTGACTTTTAGGAGACATTTGAAGGCAGCCCTGTTTAGGGAAGGTTTTCATGTTTGAAGTTTTATTCTCTTTTTAGTCCTGTGTTGAGAGCTGCCCAGAGTGGCTGGGAAAGCCCAGCCAGATGGGCGGGGTATAAATAATAAAATTATTGTTGTTGTTATTGTTATTGTTATCTGTTTACAATTTATCTGTAAATATTCAATAAACTATTTCCATTCTTTTATAAAAAGTTTGTTATCTTGATTTCTGATTCTTCCGGTAAGTTTCGCCATAAGTTTTTGTATCCATTCTTCCTTTGCTGGGACTTCTGCTTCTTTCAGTTTTGGGGCAAGTAACATTCTTGCCACTGTAGTAGCATACATGAATAAGTTTCTATACAGTTTAGGTAGTTCGAGACAGTCTCTCTTCTGATAGAAGATCGCAGCAGTTAAAAACAAACAACTTTTTTATGATTGAAGAAGCCCAGCTCAAAACATTATCCGTTCTTCAGTCAATACACAGCTCTACTGAGCAGGCCATGCATTTGTGCACAAGCACTTATTTACAAAGGTAAGCTGCGATAAACCACAGCGGCACATGCCTTAGGAATTCAGTCTTTGCACATTCCTGTACAAACTAGCCTGATCCGCATCTCCTGGACTGAGGTGCAGATCAGAACATTGTTACCCTCTGACTTTTGCACTCCTCATGTCAAAATATATCAAAATGCATTTGAAAATGCATATTTTGAAAGAACATCAGTTTGGAAATGCATTTTTAAAATTGATTTTTTTCGGGGTGGGCGCAGATTATGTTTTCAAAGTATAAATTAAGGTGGAAACAGGATGGAAGGGATGTATGAATGAACACAGGCAAAAGTGACACATGCTGGAAAGAGACAGATTCATTCATCCATCCTTATGGCAGCTCTTGGATTCAGAAGCTTTGCAGCTAATCAAAAAGCCTGGCTCACGCATGCAGCTTGATGTCACCATCGTCAAGGCACATCTTGCAGGTGTGGCTGAGCCATTACAGCAACGCCACTGACAGCATTTTCATGTGACCTGGCTCTGTCACCACAGTCACAAAGCTTTTCAGTGGGGTAAGTTCACACAGTCAGCTGCCGGTTACTAAGTCAACAGTAATGAAATACAGGAAAACCAAGTGATGTACAATGTATGATTGAATCAACCTGCCCTTATTTCACTGTGCAATATGGGAATTTCATTTGCCCTAACTGCCTTTTTAAAAATCCAACCATTCACCTTGCAGCTCATGTAAAGAAAGTTCATTTATCCCCTTCAGTGTTGGGTGGCGCTGTGGGTTAAACCACAGAGCCTAGGACTTGCCGATCAGAAGGTCGGCGGTTCAAATCCCCGTGACGGGGTGAGCTCCCCTTGCTCAGTCCCTGCTCCTGCCAACCTAGCAGTTCAAAAGCAAGTCAAAGTGCAAGTAGATAGATAGGTACCACTCTGGCGGGCAGGTAAACGGCATTTCCGTGCGTTGCTCTGGTTCGCCAGAAGCGGCTTAGTCATGCTGGCCACATGACCCGGAAGCTGTACGCTGGCTCCTTCGGCGAATAAAACGAGATGAGCGCCGCAACCCCAGAGTCGGCCACGACTGGACCTAATGGTCAGGGGTCCCTTTACCTTTTTATCCATTAGCTACAGCTTGTAGGTAGGTAGCTGAGATTATGCACATTAAGTGCTTTGCTTGGAATATGCTATATAAATACCATAGATTATTAGAACTCTGCTAACACATTAGATGCAAAACAAGAAAAAATCCAAAGGGAAGCTCAATTTCTAGCCATATACAAATGCTTTCTTCTGGGAAAACAGTGATCCTGCGGAATCCTTCTATCAATTCCATAAATTGCCCAAGAAATTAACTCTTTGGTTTCTTTGGGTGTGGGCAAGCCCAAAATGAAGCATTTATTAAGCCCCACTGGTAGTCAGGAGAGAGTTAAGTATGTGTCTAAATCTCTCCCAATAAGATTGAAAAGCTTTTCATGTTGTCTGGAAGGAGCTCTTTGTGACCTGCCAACTTTTTTTGTTCCTCCTACAGTAACACCTAGAAGTTTTCAGCTGGAGCCAAAGCTTTATTGTCCTGCAGCAGCAGAGAGCAATTCATTCTTGGCTGTCCTTAAACTCTTAATTGAAATGCAGCTCAGACTGATTGGGGATTATGGGTGGATTCCCTCCGTTCCAAAAAAAAAGAAAAAAAAGAATTGTCTTCCCTTTGGTGCTACAGCAATTGTTTGATGTTTACACATTGACACTTCAGCAAATGTTTGGATTAAGTGTTGTATTCCTGTTTAACACCCTAGCTGGGGGTAGCTGGGTAGAAGTCATTCTTCGAATGCCTGATAGCCTTAGTTCTCACCTTGTTAACTTTCAAAAGGGTAGATGCTGTCTCTTTCAGGAGAGCCAGAATCCTGGAGCTCCTTAAAGATTAACACACATTATTGTGGCTTTTGTAAGCTAAAAGCAATTTCAACTGCTTTGATCTTTTTATAAACTGCTTTGAGGGTGGTGGTGGTTGTTTTCTAATCAAGTGGTATATACATTTTATTCGAGAAATAAATTAGATGGTCACTGTGAGAATGGGATGCTGGACTAGATGGACTGTTGACCCAATCTAGCAGGCTCTTCTTACTTTCTTAACACACAATTCCACATTCTTGATCTGTCTATTTCAAGCCTTCTTGTCGAGTGCTAATAGTACAACAGATAGTAATGTGCAAATTATAATGTAAAGTGAGATGTGTTTTCAAGATGAGGCTGGAATCCTATGAGTACATTTATCGAATACATATCGAATACATTTGGATACATTTAGAAAAGTACAACATTTGAGGAAAAATACATTTGAATAGAAAAATACATTCAGATACATTCTTGACCCATTCTTAAAGTCAGTGAGAAGGATACAGCAAAAACAATACAATGAGATACAGCGAAAAATGATACATTCAGAAAAATACATCCTCCAAAGCACAGTTTACCTTCTTGTAGGGTGTTAAGGCAGAATACTATATTCTGATATTGGTAGGGTCATTTTCCTTTATTCCCCTCTCTGACCCTGACTCTCTTATGACACATGCATTGGTTGGTTGAACTGTAAAGTGTTGCTGCTGTAAAAATTGGCATTATCCATGCAGTAAGCTTTCCATTCTTTTCCCCTGTAATGTTTAGGAACACTTATCTAAGGATATGGTCGTGTTGTGAATTTCCCCACCTCCACTGCCCTGCTGTATATCGTCAGCAGAAAAAAAGGCTAAGGAGCAAACCCTACACAAATCTGGAGTGAAGTTCTGAAGACAGCTAGATGATGTCTGGTACGCTTCCTTCTGGCAACTACTGAAACCAAGATGGTGCCAAACATATTTCTCTGCTTTCCTTTGGACGGAGAGAAGGGTCTTATTGTCTGGGCAGCAGAAGACCTCCAAACCCACTGCCCTGACTTGCGCCCTGGGGAGGTCACTTTGGTGCTGTTAACGCAGTGCTTTGACTTCACCCCTGAAGGCCCACTCCATTGTCTCTCAAGACAGATGGATGCCCACAACCGCTCCCATGTCATTGGGCTACCATTGGATAAGCAAGAACACTTGTCATAGGGGTATTCCTAAATGTTACAGTGGCATTCCCATGGAGCATCTATTGCATATCTCAGCCCTAGATATGCAACGGAGATGGAGACCCATCAACTTTCACCAACGATAGCTGTCATACCCAGTGGAAAGAGATTGGGGGCAGTTGTTGTTCCAACAACATCTGGAAGGAAACACATTCCTGAGTCCTTCCACACAGCAATTAGGAGCTGTATCAATCACTTTCCTGACTTAATGTGTTAGGATTGTGCCATGAGTATCATCCATGCTCTTCATTTTATTTTTTTAGCTTTTGCAGAGGGGCTGACATTTTCATGCTTTAGTAAAGGTAAAGGTAAAGGGACCCTTACCATTAGGTCCAGTTGTGACTGACTCTGGGGTTGCGGCGCTCATCTCACTTTATTGGCCAAGGGAGCCGGCGTACAGCTTCCGGGTCATGTGGCCAGCATGACGAAGCCACTTCTGGCGAACCAGAGCAGCGCACGGAAACGCCGTTTACCTTCCTGCCGGAGTGGTACCTATTTATCTACTTGCACTTTGACGTGCTTTCAAACTGTTAGGTTGGCAGGAGCAGGGACCGAGCAACAGGAGCTCACCCCGTTGCGGGGATTCGAACCACCGACCTTCTGATCGGCAAGTCCTAGGCTCTGTGGTTTAACCCACAGCGCCACCCGCATTCATGCTTTAGTATAATTCCACAAAACCCTTTTCAAACAGAACCATGAACATATGCAGGGTTTTTTGGGCAGGGGTAGCAGATGTAGTTCTAAGCAGGTTCCTTCTCCTGTTAGACACCTGTTAGGTTTCTGAGGTTTTAGAGTTGGCCTATTTTTACACCATCCCAAATAAAATAGTCTAGCACAGTTCACATGACCCACTGCCCCAGGGCACAAAGTAACCTTTGCATCGAAGACTGGTCTTGCACTGTTTTTCTGCCTATGTGTTGCTTTTTCTTCCATTTTAAATATGCATGCCTTTTGGATTTTCAGTTGCATTTCACGAAGTCTATCACTGCTGTGGTGCACAATTAAAGAATACACTCTCAGCAGCATTTGCCTAATTCCGTCAAGAGCTGGTATTTGGTAATTTCATTTTCAGGGCCAGAGAAAGCGCCAGAGCTGATGGGAAGTAAGAGAGGGAATCGAAGGAGGCAAAATGAGCTCTAAAAGGAAAGCAACATTGTTAGAGCGGCTTCTGAGTATTTTATGAGAGAGTAATGGTTTGAAAAGAGCGCAAGCTAAACTGAGTGAGTGGCAGAAGAATGAGCATCCATTAGAAGCGATCGCAGGCGGAATTACCACCGAATTAAACTCGAGAAGCTTTTTCAAGGCAAAGGCCAGAGCTCGCTGCAAAAAGAAGAGGTTGGTGGAGGAAGGCAAATTAACTGGGAGGTGGCTACCAAGGCTCAACAAAGAATGGCAAAAGGCATTTTAAAAAGTGGGGCACAGAGTCCATATGAAGAAACTGACACACAGAGGATGGGGAACTGCAGAAGACTAGAGAGTGAGTCAGTTGCAGTTCCTTTCTGATTATTGTTCCAGCTCAGAAACTGTTTTTCTACTAGCATTCCATTCTAAATGCTGGTCCCCCGTTTCTGTCAATGGTACACAAGTGCAGTTTTCACCATTCTTAAATTTGGGGGAAAAACAACAACCCCCTGAATCTGTTGACCTCTATACTCTCATTCCCAGTAGCTCAACTGCAACATTCCTTCACTCTCGGGTGCAGTCCTGAAAGTCTAAATATACCGTATTTTTTGCTCTATAAGACTCACTTTTCCCCTCCTGCATCTTATGGAGCGAATGCAGGCTGCGCAGCTATCCCAGAAGCCAGAACAGCAAGAGGGATTGCTGCTTTCACTGCGCAGTGATCCCTCTTGCTGTTCTGGCTTCTGAGATTCAGAATATTTTTTTTCTTGTTTTCCTCCTCCAAAAACTAGGTGCGTCTTGTGGTCTGGTGCGTCTTATAGAGCGAAAAATACGGTACCCTTTGCCCTTCAGTTTCATGCCCCCTTGAATAGCCATTGCAGACATCACCAGCTGCATGCTCACCATACATTTAAAGCCCATTCTCCCTGCTCCTAATAATTCTGATAACTGTAGTATATAATGTGTGCTGGGAATTGCAGATCTGTTAGTAGTAAACTACAGTTCCCAGGATTTTGGGGGGGGGAGGGTGCTTTAAATTATTTATTTATTGCATTTACACACCATCTTTTCCTCCAAGGTGGGGTGCATGGTTCTCCCCCACCATTTAATCCATACAGCAACCTTGTGATGTAGCTCAGCTGGGAGGCAGTAACTGACTCCAGACCACCCAGTGAGCTTCAAGGCCCAGAAGGGATTTGAAGCCTGGCTTCCCAAGGTCCTGGTCTGACCCTCTAACCACTGAACCACACTGGCCCTCAGTGCATGGAGGGTAAATAGCCAACATCGCTTTCCAGGCAAATCCAATGTTCTGCCAATGTGGTAAAGAGCGTTACCTGGCGGCTGATTAATATCATCTTTCAGGTGTGCTCAGTGCTGGATTTATGTATAGGCTAAGTGGGCTGAAGCCTAAGGCCTCTAAATCTAGGGGGCCTTGCCAGCCCTCCTGCTCCCCAGCGGGCAGTCTCCCTACTCCCAAAATGTAAACCCAAGGCTTTATGTAAGGGCAGGGCAACTCAGGCCTAGCAACTATGAGACTCAGGACTAGCCAGTGGGGCCCAATTTGAAGCAGTGGGGTACAACTTGATTATTACTGTATTTTTTTTGTAGGGCCCCAGTTCACAGCCAAAGTCTGCAAAATCTTATAGATATAAATAAAATCCATCTAGATTGCCGTGGTGCAGGGGGCCCCTTAGGAGCGGCCCGTGGGGCCCAATTTGGCCCAATTGCCTTAAGGTCAGCCCTGATGAGACTGTGCATGGGTTGGACTGACAAGCCCTTCACCTTCTAGGTCCCTGGTGTAAACCCTCACTGCGATCAACTCCCGCCCAGAAACCTATGTGGAAGGACGTGTGGATCCAGAATTGGCCTCCACAGTCACTTACGGACTCACTGTTAAAACCGTGTTTATGGAAGACAATCTTACTCAGTTACGAGTGATCGCCAAAGAAGAAGTAGTAGTATGTGCACTGCTCTCCATGCATGGAGAAAGCAAGGCCCCATCTGGCTTAAAGTGCACTGATACTCATCAGTGATTCCAATGCTGTTTATTTCAGCATCTATCTCACCTAACCAAGCATTCTTCAATGCAGACTGTCTGCCTTTAAAATATCTTTTTAATAGAATATCGCAAGAAGGCATTTTTCTTCCATTGTTTTAGGTTTTTTTTTAAAAAAATAGCAAGGCTACTCTGTGGGTGGCGCTGTGTTCTAAACCACTGAGCTTGCCGTTCGGAAGGTCGGAGGTTCGAATCCCCATGAAGGGGTGAGCTCCTGTTTTTCGGTCCCTGCTCCTGCCCACCTAGCAGTTCAAAAGCACGTCAAAGTGCAAGTAGATAAATAGGTACTGCTCCGGCGGGAAGGTAAACGGCATTTCCGTGTGCCGCTCTGGTTCGCCAGAAGCGGCTTAGCCATGCTGGCCACATGACCCGAAAGCTGTATGCCGGCTCACTCAGCCTATAGAGCAAGATGAGCGCCGCAACCCCAGAATCATCCAAGACTGGACCTAATGGTCAGGGGTACCTTTACTCTGTGGATCTGGGCAGATGTTTTGGTGGTCACAGATGCTAGCCAATCAGTGTTGTATACAGCCAACTTGGCAGAGTCAGTACTTTCAAGTTCAATCCCAGGGAAAGAAATTGTTCATCTGAATATAGCACAGAAGCACAACTGCCAAAAGAGCAGGCTTACATTCCCACCTCGGATAAAGAGAGAGAGAGAGATCCCGGAGAACTGCAGTGGCAGCGGGTGGGCAACAGCCTTTCGGCAGGGAGGTGGTGGCAATCCCTTCCAACAGCAAGGAAGCAAATCCACTGGCTGGCGAAAAAGCGCACCCAGCCAGGCAGCTCATTGGTCCGGCCTCTTCCCCTCGCCGCCGCCGCCGCCGCCGCCGCCACGAGGAAGGGGGGGTGGCTCTCGGTGCAAGAGGCGCCTCCCCGCCGCCGGTGCGCGCTGAGCGCAGGCCAAGCTGCAGCAAGCGAGCGCCGTGCGCGCGCGAGGGAGAGAGAGAGAGAGACAGAGAGCGCCAGGCGGCGGCGAAGAAGGCGCAGAGAGAGTCTCGGGCAGCCCCGGCGCGGAGGGCAGGGCGGCCGGTCGGCCAAGGCGGAGCCGCGCCTGCGTGCGTCAGGCCCCAGCTGTGGCAACTCGGCAAAGTTCCGCCGAGGCTGGGCGAGCGGCGCCCGGGAGGCGAGCCGAGAGCGAGCCGGAGCTCGGGCAGGAGGACGCACGGCGCTTTCCCCGGCGCGCAGGGGGAGCGCGCCGAGGAAAAGTTTGTGGCGCGGGCGGCGGAGCGGTGGCGCCGGCTTCCCATGGAGGGAGCGCAGCCCCAGCCGGAGAGAGGCGGCGGCGGTTGCGCGCAGCCCTGAGCGGCGACCGGTTCCCGAGGTGTCTCCATGGTGTCCCCTCGTCGCCATGGCCAAATGGCTGAATAAGTACTTCAGCCTGGGCAACAACAAGACCAAGAGCCCCCCGCAGCCGCCCAGGCCGGACTACCGGGACAAGCGCAACGGCACGGCGGGCGCGGGCGGCGCAGGGCACCACAGCCACCATCACCACCACCACAGCCACCACCACACGTCGCCGTGCTTCCCGCGCCACGACACCAGCGACCTGCTGCGCGCCTACCGCGCGCAAAAGGAGCGAGACTTCGAGGATCCCTACAGCGGGCCCGGCTCGTCGCTGCGCAAGCTGAGAGCGCTCTGCCGCGCCGAGTACTGCGCGCCCGAGGAGCTGCTGGTGGAGCCGCCCGCCGCCGGCCCCAAGCCCTTCTCGTCGGCGTCGTGCTGCGGCGGAGAGGGCGGCGGCGGCGGCACCGGCAGCAGCAGCAACCCGGCCGTGGCGTCCGCTTCGCCGCAGCTCTTCCGCAGCCACAGCGAGCGGCGAGCGGCCACGCCGCCCGACGCCGCCGCCTCCGCCGTCAAGTACATCTCGCCCAAGCACCGGCTGATCAAGATCGAAAGCGGCGAGGGCGGCAAGGGGCAGCGGCGGCGGCGGCGGCGGCGGGTCCCCCGTCACCTGGAGCCCGTCGGGAAGCGGCCGCAAGAAACTCAACAAGTGCCCCGAGCAAGCGGAGGGCGGCGGCGGCGGCAGTGGCGGCTCCGGCACCAAGAAGGAGAAAGTAAGTGAGCTTGTCAGCCTGGTGGAAACCCGTCTGCCTGGTTCGCGAGGGTAGTAGTGGCGCTTGAGGTCTCCGCACCTGGCGCTGATTCACACGTGCATTCCTTCCCCCATCGCGGTGCGCTTGTTGATTGGCAGGTGAATGTGGGAACGGGCTTCCTGGGGAGTGAGGTGACCCGGAAGCTTCCGTCCATAGGAACAACTAGGGACCGAGGTGCCTTGGCCGCCTCCCCAATAAAATATTTGAGCCCCCTTCCCCCCAAGTTGATGGGCATTGCCATGCAAATAGTGTGTGTGTGCCGCGTCATGTGATCGATTATGCAGGGCGCCTGCTCCCCCCCCCGCATATTTCATTCAAGTTGGCACCCCTGCTTCCATCTGGGGGTGGTGTGTTTAGTGATGGCTCATTCGCACGTGCATAGTTACAGGGCGACTTGCATACGTGACCCTGCTCTTCTTGAATGGCAGCTGGATGGGAGACCTCCTGTTGAAAAGCAGAGCATTTGAGGCGATGTGAAAGAACCATTCCGTGGTGATAACTCTGTTGGGTGCCCATTTGTATGTGTAAATCCGCCCTCCTTGTTGTGGCTTTCATCAGATGATTGGCATGCTTGTGTGAACCCGAGCTGTGCATCCGCCTCTCGCTGTTGCACTCTTTATCTAGTGTCAGTGGCATGGAGGCACACTCTGGAACATAAAAGTGATACCGACCAGACGGGGATGAACAGAGAGGATTAACGTGGTAGGGAATGTATTCAGAGACTCTCTGCTTATGACAGACCAGTTACAACACCAATAACCTATTGTGGCTTTTGAACATAGAAAGACCCCAACTTGCTCAAAGAAGTGGCTGTGCTTGGTGAGGTTTCCTTGAAGCTCTTTGTGTAGAACAGACGGGGAAATAATCTGTCTCTGTATTTTATCAGTCTAGTAACCCTCTTTCCTTGAAGAACTGACATGGTTTGTCCCAAGTGATGCTCACAATTGCTCTTGTGTAGCTTAGGCAGAGATGTGGTGACTTTTCCCCAGGCCCATCCTGCAAGCTCGTGGCTGAGCTCGTGGCCATAGCCTTCCCTGCCCAGGTCTAGCATACTATCCTCTTATCTCACATGCTGCTGGGTCACCCAGCTAAACTCCTCTATTTGCACGCGTCAGTTCTGTGCATTAGGCAGGCGACTGTTGTTGCCTTTGTGCTGGAATAGAGGCTTCTGTATTTAAGGATCTGTTTTTAAATATATGTACAGTGGTACCTCGGGTTAAGTACTTAATTCATTCCAGAGGTCTGTTCTTAATCTGAAACTGTTCTTAACCTGAAGCACCACTTTAGCTAATGGGGCCTCCTGCTGCTGCTGCTGCATGATTTCTGTTCTCCTCCTGAAGCAAAGTTCTTAACCCGAGGTACTATATCTGGGTTAGCAGAGTCTGTAACCTGAAGCATATGTAACCTGAAGCGTATGTAACCCGAGGTACCACTGTATATATATTTTCAACAAATACAATTCAAACAATCATAATTGGTGAGGAACAGCTGCTCAGTTAGCAGTGGCAATTTCTGAGCATTAGTGACTAGTTCTCTTTATTGTTCTTCGCTTTCTTTCCAAGTGAGAGAAGGTGGAGCATTCAAAGCAGAGATGTCAGTTTTCTCACAAGCGCACTTTCTTAAAGTAGGTGCCGGTTATTAAGTCTGTCACACCCACCCAGACACTTCCAGCACCTATTACACAGCTGTCAAATCTAGAAACTCTATTGTGTAGTGTGTGCATACATGTGTGGCTTGTTTATTGACCCAGCCCTCCCCTGGCTTAGGCACTGGCTGCATCCGTTCCTTTAGCAAGAGAGAGCACTTCAGCTATTTGCCTTTCCTCTCTCTCTTTTCCAGGGGACCCATGTTAACAGCAGAGCTTCTAAGTGGCATTTCTTTTCACGAAGGTGCTGCATCTCAGCTTGGGAACCAGACCTAGACATTTCAGGCTTAGCAAGTCTTTGAGTGACTACTCTAGTTTTGTGATGGGTAAATTACAGTTGTTGCCAGTTTTGTCTTCCTTCGCACTGTGATTGGATAGGTCTGAATTCAGAACTTTCCGACCACACAGAGTGAGAGATGCTAGGGTTACTCTGGTCAGCTCTTAAGACAGTCTTAGGGGGACAGGAAGGGTGAGGGAGAATGGTATATGGCCAGTGATTCCTTGGCCTTTTCTGTCTAGCAGGACAAATTGCCCTGTGACTCAGCCGCTTTTTATATCTGGCCAACTGAAAGCCAGCGTGACTCCCTGCAATTGTGTCAAGGGCATGCAACAGATAGTGGTTGTGTTTTCAGATCTGTAAAAGAGAAAAGACATTTTAATCCCTCAGATAAAGCACTAAGGAAATAGGGCTTGTTTGTACGGCAATAACCTGAGTCATATGCAAAGTATTTCTAACTGCTTGAGTCAGTACTGACGCTCTCTGTTCAGGGATGATTTTATTTTTTTTAAGGTGTGAGCATCTAGGCATTTTAAGGGTAGGTCTGCTGTCGCATGGCTGTGTATAATTTTTGTGCCAGCAAACGTAAGAGAGAAATGATTTAATTGGTTTGGGTATTATGGTAAACTGGCACATGTAATCTCTTGCAGTTCAAGGAAAACCTTAGAATCAGGGGCATATTTGAAGAGGAATCTTCACAGTCCCAGCCCTGGACTTTTGAGGTTCAAATCTGAAGTTTTCAAAGCATGCTTATATCCCAGGAGAGGGAGTTTTGTGGCCTGTCGGCCCTGATGATTCAGGTGACTTCGAAAGGTGATAATCATGCAGATAACTCTGAAGCCATCTGAAGTTATGGACGGTTTCATCACTGCTTGAGCAGGATCCAAGGAGCAGCTTTAGGCAAGGGTCTCTCAATTCCCTTTTGACATCTATTTCTTTGAGAAACATATGTTGTGCCTTCAGGGAAGCCCTTTCCACATTGACTTATCTGCTGAGGAACTGCTGCATGTCTGCTGTGTTGCAAAGGATTCTGGGAGGTCCTGTGACCCACCCCAGTTGATGAAGAAGACGACACTCTTACAACCCTTTACTTTCTTTAAAAGTAAAATAATATAAAAATTCAGTTAGCATCAGTAACTCATATCTGAAAAACACAGATACAGTGGTACCTCGGGTTACATACACTTCAGGTTACATACGCTTCAGGTTACAGACTTTGCTTCAGGATAAGAACAGAAATCATGCGGCGGCAGCAGGAGGCCCCCATTAGCTAAAGTGGTGCTTCAGGTTAAGAACAGTTTCAGGTTAAGAACGAATTAAGTACTTAACCCGAGGTACCACTGTATGTTGCACTTTAGTTTTTGATGTTCATTTCTCATGGTGCATGTGACTTTTTAAAGTTAGGAGTTTTGGAGTTGTTAAGCGGGTTGCATTTAATTTCCTTTTCAGAGTCATGAGCCTCTAAATGCATTGGGCTAAACAGAACATTTCCAGTGCACCTCTGAGGTCCTTAGAACATAAGAAGAGCACCCTGTTCTCTCAGTGGCCACCCAGAGACTAGTGGGAAGGCAGGACCTAAACAAAAGAGCCCTCTCCCCTCCTGCAACTTCCAGCAAGTGTTATTCAGAAGCATTGCAGCCTCTGACTATAGAGGCAGAGAATATTCATCCTGGCTAGTAGCCATTGACAGCCTCCATGAATTTGTTTAATCTTTTCAAAAAGCCATCCAAGTTGTTAGCCACCACTGCCTCCCGTGGCAGTGAGTTCCATAGGTTAACCGTGTGCTGCATGAAGAAGTCCTTTCTTTCATTTGCCCCGAATCTTCCAACCTTCAATTTTATTGGATGTTCACAATCACCAGCGTTATGAGAGAAGGACAAGAACCTTTCTCTGCCTGCTTTCTGCAGGCCAAACATAGAATTACGAACTTTTATCATGTTGTTTCTCACTCACCTTTTCCACTAAAGGAAAACGTCCCAAACACTTCAACCTTTTCTCTTGGGGAGTCGCTCCATCCCCTTTTCTGAAGCTTTTCCAAATCTACAATAGCCTTTTGAAGGGGAGGTGACCAGAACTGTCACACCATAAAAAGGTAAAGGGACCCCTGACCGTTAGGTCCAGTCGTGACCGACTCTGGGGTTGCGGCGCTCATCTCGCTTTATTGGCCGAGGGAGCCGGCATACAGCTTCCGGGTCATGTGGCCAGCATGACTAAGCCGCTTCTGGTGACTATGCTCTTTGTCCCTTCGTAGGCATCCTCTGTGCTTTCTACCTCTGGGTTTGCTGGACCTTTTACCACCATCCTCTGTGAATGGAGAATGTGCCCTGTATTGCTTGCCCAATAATCCTCCTGTAACTGCACATGGCACCTGATGCTCAGGGCTGCGACTGACAGCATTTCTAGACTTGCCTGCAAGGTTTCCCTTGAGATCCTTTCATAGGAGATTGAATCCGGGTCTTTCTGCATCCAAAGCAGGCATAGCCAAACTCAGCAACTCCCATCATCCCTGACCACTGGTCCTGTTCGCTAGGGGTGATGGGAGTTGTAGTCCCAAAACATCTGGAGGACCAAGTTTGCCTATGCATGATACAAAGCATCTGCTCAAGCACTGAGTTTATTTTTTTTATAAGATATTTATTAAGCTTTTTTCAAAGAAGAACATAAATTTGCGAAATAGAGAAATTAAAAACAAAGAATTACAATATTAAAGAAAAAACATAGAAAATGTAGAAAAGCTAAGAAAAAATACAAATAGAAAATACATACAAAAACCAAAAAAGACAAAATAGCTAAAAAGAAAGAAGTTTAAAAACAAATCCAATTTTCAATATTTATAGACTCATTTGCTTATTTTCTTGACTTCCTCACACCTCCCCTTTTTGTATTCCCATTTATATAATCGATTCAGCAAATCTTTGCCTTCTTTCATTTATCTTAACTTTTGATCTTAACAATATATTTTCATCCATTATCAGTCCATTTTTACATATTCTTATTACTCTTGTTGCCAACACCACTTATTTTCAATCCAACATCATT